CCACCTTAATCGCACCGTTTGATTTCAGCATCGTAGACTGGTCGTTGTTCTTCGTCTCGACTTTGCGATCTTGATCCTAGCACTGGTCACTTGGTTTTCTTGCTACTGGTCTTGCTTACACGCACTCGCTCTGAGGGCGCTTGCGCCGCCCTTTTGTAGCCTTTGGTGGTGCCGTTATCCTCCTTCTCGAGACCGAGTCCAAGGTTTACAGCCGTACCGTTTATTCACGGTGCGTCTTCTTTGTGCAGGGTTGAATGTCCAGCTCGGTGCCGTTAATTCAAGGTATCCCCGCATCGCTCGGGACCAAAGTCCGCTGTTTGCAGTTTGACTTTGATCTCTTCGTCATATTGTTGTGCAGCTGTGATTGATGAAAAAGTACCGTTTTATTAATTTGACACCACCAGATTCGATCGTTGACGCTAAACATATTTGAACATTTTTCGAGATGGAAAATAAAACGGAGTAGGCTTTTCAGGAAGGAATCCATACTAAGCTACGTTTCAAATTCAATAGTTTTGAAGAATGGATGTCAACGAGTTTCGGTACGCAATGATGCAGGTGAAGCCCGTGGTCACGGCTATGACGGGTGTATGCAATATCGCGGCGTAAGGCAATGGTTGTTTGCATTCTTTCTTCTCATCATTCTTCTCATAACTTCCTCGTTAGCTTATCGCCTTTTTTTTTTTTTGTAATACCAATGCACACATATTGTATTTAATAATAAAACAAATAAGTGGAGAACGTTATAAAACCTTCATTACTTCTGAATAGGAAACAGCCTTCTTTACTCAACTATAAAACAGTGTTAAATAATACATGAAAGAAAGCAATCTTCGGCAAGCCGAAGTTCATATACCCTTGCAGCTATTGCAAGAATTAAAAATTTTTGAAAACTAGTTGGTTTTGGCGACCTTTCCAAAGTATATTAATAGTAACCGGCTCGAGGTAAGGATGTTATGAAAATAACACGATATTTAATTATTGTTATTTGTCAATATATTTCGGATGCTCTTCAGGACAACTATAAAATAATAACAACGATTTTTATATTCTTAACAAACAGAAAACAATTTACATTTGACATACATTTAATTTACACGTCTGCGTCCGGTGACGTGAAGTTGTTAACTAATTTTTTTCTTCCCCAGTAAATGTCTATATAAATGAGCGCAATTTTCAGTGTCCGTTTTGTAATTCATCCGTATGTCTGTAGGTGTTTTATGATATGTAGAATTTCTATGGTGAATCGTTTGGCATAGTGTTGTTTTTGTGATAAGATACTCTTGTCGATGTTTTGCGAGCGGTTGGTGCCTGCATATCCTACCGACGATTGCGTTTAAGGGGAGCGGGCTTTTAAGACACTTGTTTTATATGTTATGTTTAGTGATCTTTGGTTGATTTATTTTTTAAGTGTTATTTTAATTTACTGAACTCGTGCAATGAATGCGCGAGCATATAAAATGAGAATAAGAATGAGAGAGCGAAAAATCCGAACGCACACGAAGTGCAGGGGCCTGCTGCTGTGAGCACGGGGGGCCTCCCGCGATCCGTTTTTTTGTATCCAAATGCGTTGTATGAAATGACCAGTCTATATGTTGTATGGTTAGTGGTTGTATATAAATTTTAATGTGTGGTCCGGTTTATGTGCGATACTTTTGTTTTCTTTGTCGTAGCATTTACTACACGTTCGGATAATGTAGGGACATTGACAGTGAGATATATTTTTTTTGTTTTTATTGCTTTTAACGCTGTTTTGTTTTGTTGTTTTGTGTTCCGATAATAATGTTTTTATTATGTGTTTTAGGAAATCATTGTCTGTTAACATTGATCCGTGCCTGAAATTTTGAGCATTCTCTGTATACAGCTTCTAGCTGTATTTATTATCATTTGTTTTGGGTGTTTGGAGTTAAAATTGATGATTCGTCCGGACGGTCATCCTCTTGAATGATTGCGAACAAGTCATCTACGTATTTTGTCAGTAATCTTGGAGGTCGTCTGTGTTTTTTTTAACGTGTTGTCCAAGAGAGTTTCCATTACAATATCTGCAATATCTTTTAACTGTGAGTAAAAATTGTTTTCAAATTTGAAATATCTGTTTTCTTGAATACAAAATTTGTAATATGTCCATAAATATTCTTTGCGGTATTTTACTGTGTTTTTGAATTATTGTCCTTTTGTTTTTAATTATATTCAGGGCTAGATCTGTCGGTATACTCGGAAATAATGAAATTACGTCAAATGAAATTAAACTTTCATCGTCGCCAATATGTGTTGTTGATTTTGTCTTTGAATTCTTCTGAATTTTTGATGTTATATTTGGAGTCTATTGTTATGTTTTTAATATGTCAATTATGTATTTGCATAGTGCATAGGATGGTGATCCGATGGAGGAGCAGATTGGTCGTACAGGGGTTCCTTCTTTATGAATTTTGGGTAGTCCATATATTCGTGGTGGTAATGCTGTGGTGATTGTCAACTTATTTCTTTCGATCATTGAGATAAGTTCCATTTTTGATAGTCTGTCCACTATTTCGTTATTTTTTGTTTGTAGTCTAGAGGTGGGGTCTTTCCTTAATGTCCTGTATGTGTTTCTATCCTTTAATATGTCCTTCATTTTTTGGTTGTAGTCATCTTTGTTCATAGCTACCGTTTAGTTATCTTTGTTTGATTCACCATAGAAATAATACATATCATAAAAACACCCGTTTTGTAGTTCATTCGTATGTCTGTATACGGATGAACTTCAAAACGGACATTGACAATTGCGCTCATTTATATAGACTTTTACTAGGGAAGGACAAATTAGTTAACAACTCCACGACACCGGACGCAGACGTGTAAATTAAATGTATGTCAATGAAAATTGTTTTCTGTTTGTTAAGAATATTAAAATCGTTGTTATTATTTTATAGTTATCCTGAAGACGGTTGCCGAAGAGCATCCGAAATATATTGACAAATAACCAAAATTAAAAAATTGTGTTATTTTCTCAACATCCTGACCTCGAGCCGGTTTACAATTAATACATTTTTAAAAACATTAAAATTATGATTTACTTGCGTATATGTCTAAAAACATTGAAGCTATGATGATTTTCAGCTCAATAATTAGTTATTTTATATATTTTTATTATTTCTATGGGAGCTGTATGATATAGTCGTCCGATTTTGATCAAATTTAAACCGTAATTCTAAAATAATTAACCATGTCGAAGAACTTAAAAAAAATTAAAAAGCAGCATAGTTAAAATTTTTTTTTTTTTTTTCCGATTGTTTCTATGGGAGCTATTTGATATAGTCGTCCGATTTTGATGAAATTTAAACCGTAATTCTGAAATAATTAACATTCCTATATGTCGAAGAACTAAAAAAAATTTAAAAACAGCAAAGTTATAATTTCTTTTTTATTTATTTCTTTCGATTGATCCTATGGGAGCTATATGCTATAGTCGTCCGATCCGGCTCGTTCCGACTTATATACTACCTGCAATAGAAAGACAACTTTTGGGAAAGTTTCATGCAGATAGCTTTAAAACTGAGAGACTAGTTTGCGTAGAAACGGACGGACAAACGGACAGACTGACAGACGGACGGACAGGCGGACGGACAGACGGACTGACATACGGACGGACAGACGGTCATGGCTAGATCGACTCTCCTAGTGATGCTGATCAAGAATATACATACTTTTTAGGGTCGGAAATGCCTCCTTCACCGCGTTGTAAACTTCTGACTGAAATTATAATACCTTCTGCAAGAGTATAAAAAATTCAAAAGGTTTTTAATTATCTTTTCCGTACATTTTATATCGTTGGATTTTTTCTATAAGATTCACACCAATTGGTGTTTATTAAAAACAATGGTTTTCTAGAAGACACATGTTGTAATGAAGATGACGTGACAAAAAACAAGAATCAAATCTCTCCTCCTTCGCTGTTTTTGGTCCTTGGTATATGTATCAGTTTTTTGATTTATAAGGACAATAAAAATGTGATAAAATGTAGGTCACTGCTCATATTTGCCGTTTGAAGTTCGTGCAAAATAATTGATCTGCCAAATATTAGAAATATTTCGTTTTCGACAACAAAGTAAGCTTTTAATGGTTTTTCTTTTTAAATAAGTCTTTTATCCGAACTATCTCGCTTTTAATGCTGTGTGGTATACATATATATTTTTTTTCAATTTCAACGTTGTCCAGAATTCCCAATATAGGCCGTTGCCCAATATTACAATATGTTCTTGAGATCTTTTTTGTTAACTCATGGCTATTAGTTTTTATTTGGGTAAATATATCCAAAATAATTTCATTATTTTTTCGGCTTACTACAAATAAAGTATGTAAGAACTACAAAGACGCCTTATCCCATGTTTTATTTCTCTCAAAAATATTAACTAAAAAAACAAAATAAAGACGTTTTTAAAATATTTTAATTCTTGTAGTTCTCTTCTTTTCTTGCTTATCGTAGCTTTCACCTTCTTTACCGGCCAAAATCAGCCAGAGCCTATTGCTACAAGAAGCTCGTTTGGGACACTGATCTTAAAAGGTTAAGTGGTCTTAGCGTGAAAAAGTAGTAGGCTCATAGGACCTGTCTTGTATAGAGGAAACAACATATATAAACATTTTTTTCTTCGGTGCAACCACTAAAAGAGGTTTCGTTAGTGCAGACGGACCGGAAATCCGGACACAAAATTTCTTTGTGACCTTTATAAGTAAACTTGTAAAACCACAGAGGACAAAACAAAAACAAAAACAACACTGCGGCCTGGACAAACAAATCAAAAATAAAGGACTGCGAAATAACAAAAAAAAATTCAAGTTTCATTTGAAATATTCAAGTTTATTAATACTTATTTTTATAAAGTGCACCGATGGGTTAATACGGTTGTTACTTACCAAAGGTATTAAGAAATGTTTATATAAATATCTTAAGACTAAGAACAAATTTCAAAACAATTTAAAACACCACTATGGATAATGTTTAGCAAAACTTTTCAACTAACCTTTCAGATATGGTCAGCGAAAACATCTTGTAAAGGTCTTGATCCGTCTCGTTTAGTTTTATGCCCTTGGTGTCTTCCTCATCAAAAGATCCAATATCAAAGGCATCAGCGGCATTAACTTCTCCTCTTGGGGGCACCAAAGGCGGAATATATTTTTGAATGTAAACTTGGTGCCAGTCGATTCCACAAAAAAAATTATGCATTTTTACTTCATCAGCACTAAAAAAAATGAATTGTTAAATTAAGTAACGGAAAAAAACGATTTAATCGAGTTCACCGACTTTTAGATACCCGTTATTATGTCCACCAAATCCAAAATATATATTGGTTCATGTGTGTTTTTGGAAAATGTTCTACTTGCATTTCTATTGGGAGGAAGCCGTTAGACAATGTAAAATATGTACATGATGTCCCTTTACTAAACTTCGTCAAGCTTTTTAATTGCTTTACCAAACCGTTTACCTTTTGGTCGGTAGGGCTTGCGATTTTTATTTATTTATTTATAATAAAGTACATAATTGTCTTACCCATTTCCCATGCAGCCAAGTCGTTTAGGTACGTCTCTTTGAAGTAACAATTCCAACAAGTTCCTTAGTTCTACAGAAAATGATTCTGGAAGTTCTACGTTCTGCAAAATAAGTAATGTAGCAACTTTTCAATGTATAATATTTAAGCAAAAATAAAAAAAAACGCGCTAAAGAAACATATAGTCCTATTGTTAGAAATAACTATATTACAAGATTCAAAAGTGTATAATCTAATGGATGTACATTTTTTTATGATTCCAAATTGATAAGTAATATAAGCTCAATCAAAAGTTAGCAAAGCACACATCACCGGACCTTTAAATTATACTCCTTTTCTTAATCAGCATCACTAGGAAAATCGATTTTCTTAATTTTAAGGTTATCTGAATACAAATTGCTAAATTAGCAGGTATTATACAAGTCGGAAAGACCTGGAAACGACGACTATATTATACAGTTCCCATAGGAAAAATCGGAAAAATAGAACGGGTGAACGTTTTTAAAACAGTTTTTTATTGAATAGAAAGGAAAGGTACAGATCAATGGACTTTTGGAAAATAATAGTTTATAGAACTGCAAGTGGATATGCACAGTACTTAAGGACGCAGCTTGGCACCACATCCGTAACTTGGGAAAGGACATACTTATCTATGATAGTCTGCGTAAAACTTCGCATCCATCTATCAAGGGAATGAATAAAGAATCTGTGTGGGGTAGATGAAAGGAATAACTAACACAAGAACTGAGATGTGTTGAGTTTACTAATTTCATGATCCAAATGATCAGTTCGATTCCAGTATTTACAAACTTTTAATACAGTTTGGTATTAACATTTCTTAGCATTAGCATTAACTGAGCAGCTAAAACGAATGACACTATGGAGGTAATCTGTAAGCCACAGCTATTTAAAACAGAACCATCCTCTCAGTGACTAATAAAACGCCTATACAAATAAAGATCTCTTGTTGTGCAGAAGTCAAGATGAAGATTAGTAAACAAATTTAGCAGGCTCAGCAGAAAGCGTTGGACCAATTAAACAAAAACAGTTTTTACAAAAGTTATCAAGTCAGCGACAAAGTTTTATTAAAATCAAAAAACAAAAAGCAAATTATAAAAAGCCGTCTTCACTGTGCTCTGAAGAAGTGATTGAGAACGGTAAAAGTTGCAAAGGGAGGGTTCTCCAAAAGGACACTTCTTGTTTTAGGTTAAGACATTGAACCTCTGTTCTGACTCTCTTATTTTCGATGACTACTGCTTTAAAACTAACCGACTTCTCAATGTGCCACGAATTCATTAAACTAATTTTGCTTCATATAAACTTAATATACCGTTTAAAGTTGATTATCTTAAAATCTTTTTTATTATTATCTTCTTTAAAAAAAAGAATTCGAAAACTTGTTGTTTGCCCATTGCTGCAGGTAAAAGCACCATTTACTTGCAATATCTTTCTTTCAGAAATTAACGTCAAGGCGGATATTATATATGAATAGTTTTTCACTTAGCTCGGCTTTATATTTTTAACATTCTTAAGCATTCCGTATGCATATAAGTAAAGTTTTTCCATTCGTATCTGGCATTAAATGTATACTGACAAATGTTTTTAAAGATGTCTGTGGATAAAACAACTGAACTGTTGTGGCAGTTACCTGTTTAAGGAGTACACCAAGTCACATATGGGACTCAAAAGACCGAATTTCGGTCAGACGAAGTGTAAATAACTCCAGGAACTCGTCTGATTGTTATTAATAGATTTAACACTTTTATATGATTCAAACCGTTTATTGTATGCCTTTGTCTCAATTTTTAAGAGTGTTTTTTGCGCTTGTCGTCTGGCTTGTATAATGGCTTGACAAAAAGTGAAGTCAGTTTTAATGAAGTGGCAACCTTCTTACAAGAACGATAAATAAAAAATAAAGGGGGTCACACTTCCGATATAATTCGTTGATATTTAAGTAAAAACAATGTCAACATCTTCCTCCCAAGTATTGGAGTAGTACATAACTTTAATATAGACGACGGCAATAGCTAGAGTTCACAATTGGGTTTCACATCTAGCTTAATTAATTTTACAGTAGGTCTCTTATATGTATTATTTTTAATCTTAATTTTAACAATTAGTACACGCCCATCTTTGGATGGATTGGATGGATTTTAACAACTATACCTATTGGCCATTTCCAGGCAAGTAAGATTCCATCAACAAAACTACAGCACCTTCTTTTAAAACAATATATAAAAATAAGAAATTGTCTGCATTCCTTTTTCCATTTTAGCCAAAAAATGTCCGGTAGTCTTTGCGGCAATTTCCACATATTTTAAAGTCTCAAGTAAATATCTGTAGTGTTAGTATAAAAGGATTCTCGACAGTTGGGACCAATTAACAAGTCGTTTGTTGTTAATGTTTCAGACAGAGAATCAGAAGGCACAAATAAAAGTGGTCTACTGTTCATCATAAGCTCGATTCCACAAAACAGCGTTTTTAAAGTGTACTCTTTTGGATAATTTTCTTTTAGAAGAACTCCAAAATATTTCTCAACAGATTGTATGAGCCTTTTCCAGGCTCCTCCCAGCTGAGGGGACAAAGGCGAGTTAAAATACCACGTGCAGTCTTTTGTTGTTAGAAACTGTGTATTTTTGTCATCTGGCCATTCTTCTACGATTTCTTTTATGTGTTTGTCAGCTCGCCTAAAATTGGCACCATTGTCTGAATATAATTCTGTCGAAAATGCACGCCAAATTGCCGAAATACATGCATAAACGCATTGCATGATAAGTCTTCAGCTATCTCAAGATGCACCGCCCGTGTTGCCATGCATGGAAACAGTTTGGAAGCTTACCAATTAATGGAACTTGCGGTTAAGCTTTTCTGTTTTTACAATGCTGACAATTTGTAATTACGTGTTTAACTGTATTTCTACATTTTGTAATCCAAAACCTTCCACGGATATTGGCAATTACAGTTTCTAATCCTATAGGATGATCTCTACTTAAGATAATTGGATTTTTAAAATCAATACACATTTTTTCGTCAGCTTAGTTATTTAGCCTACCTCTGAGTCTCAGAAAAATATCGCTAGAACCCAAGCTGTAGTTCTTAAAAATCTCATCCAATTGGAGAATCTTGTGACGTCTGGCAAAATATACAACTGCTTTTGCACTGTAGTTACATTTACAAATTCCCTATCACGTGACTCACCTCACTCGAATTTGTTAATTCTTGTATTTTGAGACTTTTTATGTTTGTTTTCAGCCAATTTAAAACAATTTCTGAGTCTGTCCACAAAAAAGTTGAGTCTATTCTGAGATTCAGTGTTTCCTTAACAACTTTGCTAAGCCTAGCTCCTTATCAAGGATCCTTGTAGTTCCAGTCTTGGAATCGTTATTGGTTTGAGTGGTGCTACATGCGACTTAGCTATCAGAATGCTCTCAACTTGGTTTTTACCCTCGAAGCGTAAATATGCGCACCTTGCGTATGCGTACTTTAAGGCGTCGTAAAATATATGTCGCTGAATAATATTTATGGGAAAAGAAGTCATCTGTCTTGTTAAAATCGCTTATCTTATTTAAGCTGTTACACAAAGTCTTTCAAATTTCAAACTGATCATCTGTAATAAAATCATCTCAATGGCTGCCGCTGTAAAATAATTTTGTTTGATATTAATAAGTTTGAAAGGAACCCTAACGAATCCAAAATTGACATAGTTATTTTTAAAATTTCTCGCTTATTGTTGAGAAGTTTTGAATTTGGTTTAGAAAATTTTAAACTGTATGTAAATATGTCTTTTTGTGATTCCAAAATAGTCATAAAACCAGCTCTTATTTTAAATTCTTTTCTTTAATTTGCGATGGTGTGCTGTTTGCGATCTGTTTTAAAACTTCTGGAGAATTCGATAACCAATTCCTCATTTTGACTCCACCTGTCTTGTGTACAAGTAAAGAAGTTACCCTCGCGCTGTGCTAGCAGGTGAATTGCTGTCATATACTGTCGCTCGCTCCCAATGCGAGAGCAGCATTATCACGTATGCTAAGTCGGCTGGCCGACTACACTTGGTAGCTTATGCTCATTTCTTTATCTCTCTCTCTCTCTCTCTCTAAGCATAATCTCCCTTCATAGCATAGTTTAAGTATACTTATTTTTGTAACCTAGTTTTAATTGTTCTTGGCACGTAAAGCAAGCAGAAGCTTGAAATAAACTTCTACACCAGCTATAGCTAATATTCTTTTTTATTGTTGCTAAGCCACAAGGCTAGTAAGATCTAGTGGATCACATTTTTTTTTTTTGTTTAAAGCAGCAGCGTGGAAACGTACAGTTTAGTGTCTTTGAGGCAGTTCGAAAAGCTCTTGCAATTCGCCGCTCTTTCCCCTTATCTTTAATTTGCTTCGTTCTCTTTTTTTGTGTTAAAGAAACAGTGATTTTCATGAGCTGGGTTGATTCGTATAGAGAGGTTAGGAGCGAGTACGAAAGTGACGATAGTGTTGAATTGGAAGATAATAAATATTTGGAAAAAAAAGCCAACATGAACGCTAACGAGGTGAATGCGCTTTTGCCAATGCCTTAGCCAATCAAGAGGCAATCTTTCAGGCGCGTTTAAATGAAATGCAAAGGCAATTGAAAGAATTACGTGTGGAGGCGCCACACGTTGAAACGTACCAACGGATTTCAGTAGACCCAGCGGTGAGGTGCGACATCCCGCTTGACATTTTCAAATCTATCCCAGACTTTAGTGGCGTGCAAGATGAGTATGTGGCGTGGAGGCAATCAGCCACAGACGCATACGAACTCTTCGCACCTTTTAGTAGTAGCTGTGCATATTATCAGGCAGTCACGATAATTAGGAATAAAATTAAGGGTCCGGCAAGAGCATTGTTGGTGTCACACAACACCGTGCTCAATTTCGATGCTATTATAGCCAGATTGGACTGCACGTATGCAGATAAGACTTCCTTGCGTCTTCTGCGGCAGGGATTAGACATGGTAAGGCAAGGCGATTCGAGCCTAATGCAGTACTATGATGAGGTGGAAAGGAAGTGGACTCTCGTAACCAATAAAATCGTTATGTCCCACGAGCCTCAGGCAGCAGCATTGCTCAACCAAGAGGTC